TGTCTGCTTAATATCTTCTAACATTTTCTTTGTCAACATTCTACTAACCCTAAACCTACCCTAACAGTCTACTCTGAGATTTAGTAGACATGTAGTTGCAAATTAATGAGAATTAGTTGACATGTAGTTGACATGTAGTTACAAAGTTACTTATAGTTAACAGAATGTCTAAAGTAGACTATCGAAATAAAGTGTAACCTAACATATGTAAGGCACTATGAAGTTTATCCACTGATGTATAAAATGATTTTGCTGTGAAAGACACAAAATACTTCTCTCAGAAGATATGTTTGATTTTCACAGTATATGAATCATCAACATCATCGCCATCGTCATCACTGTCGTCGCCATCATTCTCATCCTCATCTTTTGTTGACTGTATAATTTGTGTTCTTTCAATAAAATGTAGTAGTTGTTCTATGCGTTTTTAGGAGGGCTTGGCTCATCAGGATAGTGACCATTATCGCTCTTCATATTTCCATTATAGGCTACACATGCTCACTTGTATGAGAAAGGTTAAATCTATCAGAAACTGGATATAAGGGTTCACTGACTAATGCCCTATAGCATTCAGAATTTACTGAAGGCTAGATTTGTCTAATTCACATATGAACCACTGATTTGAAACAGATTCGTACAAGCTTCAAAGCTTCATGTATCGAAAGCACCCATATATTAATGCATCTCATAAATTAGTGCCATGTTTTTGAGATGGTGACAAGTTAAAACAACTTTAACTTTTAAAGATGCGTCCTGACATGCTGAGCTCCCCTGTACTGCCTTGCCTGTTTTTAAATGCAAGAACGTGTTCTGCCCAACAAAACCTATTAGTTATTTCTTGCATTTAGGGGCAGACACAGATATAACTAACAGGCCATCACTTTTGCCAAAGTTGGTTTTGTTCTCACCAATTTTTGAAAGCTACTTAAAAATAACTTGCCGAACACAAAAAAAGCATCTCTAATCTTTCATTGTGATTTACTTCACATAGGTAATAAAAAACACATTTGCATTGCCCTGATGTTGTGTTGTCCTATACATCAGCTACCTGATGTATAAACCTTGTCTAGGCCTATAAAGATTGATAGATAAATAAATACATAGGCCACACTGCAAATTTTAGTGTTCATTTCTGATTGCTGGCACAGGTCAGATTACCATACAGAAGCCTAAACTGTTTGATTAAAAGAGTCAGTATTTTCATAATGTACTTTTTATTTAATTTTGTTAGTACACCTCAAATATGTGTGAAAGTAATAAAGTTAAAAAAAGTCAACATGTCATTCTTTTTTTCTAGATCGCACATTAGACCAAAATTCATAATCAGGCACCATTCACAAAAAATATTCAGAAAATTTCATATAGAAGGACTATAATTGGTAATTTACGCATTAAAGTAAATTGCGATTAAGTTGATATGATTTATATGTAACTATAAAACATTCAAAATACTAAATAATTATTTAGTTAAAGGGTTAGTTCACCCAAAAATGAAAATTAGCCAGTGTTTTACTCACCCTCCGCGTAACGCTTCCGCATACGACAGTCAGCAGAAGTGAGTGAAAAGTGTTTATTGCGTTTGAAATATGGATATACAAAAACACATGGATTCGCTACAGGAGGCCTTTATTCATGCCCCGGAGCCATGTGAGGCACGTTTTATTACGGATGTGCGTGCTTTATTTAATGTGTTTTGGACTGTTGAACATCTTTCTTATCTCATCTTTCCCCTTTCTCCCTTATTT